GCCAAGGCCACAACAAATATCAAAACACCAAAACAAGAAGCAATAGCTATGATGATTATTACCCAAGTCTCCATCTTAAACAAAATCGTCGCATATAGTTTTTTTTTTTTTGTAAATCGTCGCATATAGTTATCCCCGATAATATGTATATATAGTTTCTTGCTGAAGTTCTCTTGAAGAAAAATAACGTGTCAAGTTTGTATTGACTTAAGAATTTTATTATTCTTATGTATTCAATTAAAAGGTTTTCGTTACGTACGGACAAAACTTTATTATTAATATGTTTACATGTTCAAAGTTATTCATTACTGGTCAAATTTGAGAAGAAGTACGCTTCATTTGATAGTTATATAATATATTTGTCAAAGGATTTATAGATGGATTGAATCGATCAATTGGAAATTGGATTCTAATTGGTTTTCATATTCAAACGGTGTGACATATTTCACACATTTTTGACAAGATCAAAACATGAGAAGAAGAGTACTGCAAGCTAGCCAAAAAAGAAAAAAAAATGGACAGTGACTTTTCAGTTTGAGCTGAAATTGGCATTTTTGGACTCTCATGTTTCTAGGGTTTGCATGTTTAAGTAAGGACGGGATTCTAGTGTACCAAGAGTCGTTTGGTACGTACGGTTGATTTTGTAGCTTTTGTAGTGTTTTCGTGTTGAGTTTTTTTCTTGCTTTGTTGGAAAATAAATGATTTTGTTGAACTAAAATCAAAGTGTTCTCTGAACATATTGTAACCCAAATAAATTTGATATAGTAGAGAACCAGTCTCGAACTGGATACAGTTGGACGTTAAAAATAGAACTCAACATCTTGAATACCAATTTTTAATTTATGGAGAAAGATTGAAAGAAGCAATAAATGAATGAAGAGAACTTACTTGCAAACATAATTGTCTTCTTTAACATATCAGCAATAATATGTAACATGTCAGAAATAAAATGTTTTGTTGCTATAATAAAAATCATTGAAGAATCTAACTTCAGTTTAAATTGAAAACGATTTATTAGTATTATAAGTTCTTTTTTTAGTTCCCGTAGGCCCGTACACCTCATGTTAAAAAAAAAAATACTAACCATATGCATTGCATATATATATATATGGCAACTCTGTGCATGTGTGTATATTTTTTTATATGCACATACTGACATACAGATACAGTGCAATGTGACGTG